GACAATTTTACACCCTCCAATATGTCTTGTTTCTATGGAGACACCAATGAACTGCAGCTTGCATTCTTCTGCATATCACAATACAAGGTTGCTTCAAAATTTTCCCAGTGCTTCACTCTCTTCTCTTTTAATTAGAAATTAATCAATAGGTTTGGTACTCTTGTCTCATACACTCACATACAGATGCACAGACACATATGATCCCGTGACTGTGAAGCATTGTGTATAAACACAAGGTATGTTCTTGAAGTTTTTTTTTAGAGAACAGCACATTTCATCTTGAAGCTTACAAGATGATAGTTCTGAGCTGTATTGGATAGCAGGGTAGGAAGATGGATATCTTCTATGCGGTAGATGAGATGGGAGAATTTTATGATACTTCATGCTTTTAAATAACAGGAAGGACGTGTGGAGTTCTGGCATGCCCTTAGAACAGATTGTTGGGATATTTGAATTCTGTTCTCTTAATATGATCTGAGTTATTGTTTGGCCCCATTGTCTGCCCCCCTCATAGTTTCTATGTGTAATTTGTGCCTTCATCCCTCCCACCCCGAATGGTGAATGTAGGTCTAATTCTCCAAGCCATACGCTTCCCCCACTGTGTATGCAATGCTTCCTCTACAGAACAGTGGAAAGTAAACACTTGTGCGACAGAAAACTACATTTGTGAAGAGCATAAGAAAGAAACTATGTAAATTACGTTTTTTAAAAATTCAAAATGTACTATGAAGTAAACAGAATTTTTAATTATCAAGAATCAGTGATGCTGAAATGATGCTGGACAGGAAGTTCTATGCTACTATTAGTGAGCCCTTTGAAATCAGTAACAAAAGTTTTCTTCCTGCAAGGTAGTAAATTATTTTTCCCCAGTTAAATTCAACAGGTATAATATTACCAGATTATGCTGGTGCCCTGAGCTTTTTAGTTATTAGTTCATACTACACTGAAATAAATTTCCAGTAACAATTCAAAATAACATTTGCAGAGGCCTCATAGCTGATAAATGTTTACATAAACCACCTGGTGATGGCAACAGATTACATCTAATGCTCAGTTTATATACTCATGTGCTGAGATGTATGCTGAGCAATTTTTTTCTCAGTTTTTCTTTGTCCTACCCAGCTGTCTGTCTCCTCCTGCTTTCTAATACCTTGATTGCGGTCTCCTCTTGACAAAGAGTATATCTTTGTCTTCCTTTTTTTTTTTTTCAACTTCTTATGGACTTCAGAAGATGTATTGTAGTTCTTAAATGCTACAGCTACTAGTAATCCAATGAAAAACAGTTTTTGATGATACACTGCTGAATAGTGTTTCTTGCCATTATGTTTGTGTATATGCTTATACATGCATACATACACATATGTGTATGTTTGCCTTTTGTTACCCTTTTTGTTGTCAAACTGAAAAACAAAAAATACAATTAAGCCTTTTTATGAGATTTGCTTTGTTTGAACTCTATGAACATTTATTGCACTCTCAATTTATTCAGTACTTTTGTTAACAGACAGAGAGCAAGGTTTAACCTCTAAATGGACCAGAGCATTACTGTTTTCTCAAGGATGATAATTGTAGCTATGCAAGCTAGCACATAATGGTTAAATATATCCTTGCTTTTGACAGAAGCTAGTGGAATTGGAACAGAGATGAACATAGCTTATTAAATATAGCTCTTATGAAGACTGCTCTATAATTACCGTGATTTTTCTTTGTATCATTATCATCATAGGCTGATGAAAACAATAAATCGTGTGCTTTCAAGAGGCCAAGAACTATTCAGCCATATAAAGAGATCATACCTAGAGTAACAGACCTGTTAGTTTTCATTGAGTAATCTATGTAAATAATGCACTATAAAGGTTAAATAGGTACTTTCATCAAAGATCCTTCTTTCACTGATAAGAGTTAAAAACTTAGAGGACCATGTTCCAAGGATGCTTTGTTCCATGAAATCTCATACATATCCATGAACAAATCTTCTGATACTTTTTAATTGAGATTAGTTTTTAATGTATAAAAAACTAATCAGCTTCCATGTCTAGAAGTGTTTCTGAGATGAAAACCTCAGAATGAAATGACCTAACTACCCAAAATGTTATGAGTACAAAAATGCTGTTTTTCCTTTGCATCAGCTCTAAGGCTCCACAGATTCAAAATGGATCTGGAGACCTGGATTCATATACTTTCCATCTTTTCTAATCCATGAGAGATTTTCGTGCTTCTTGACACTGAAAGGAGAGCAAATAGCAAGGGCATGTTCTTGTGATCTAGATTATTTCTTTGCTCCTCAGGTCTGTGTTGGTATGACTGGGAAGGCAGCAGACCCTGGCATAGCTGCTCTATGTCATGATGAGCTTCAAAGACCTTGGCCAGTGCTAAAAGCATTGTTTCAGGAATGCCTTTGCATGTGAAGCTTTACCTCTTGTGTATTTACTAATAATTAATGTTTTAGAGGCCAGAATTTTGACACAAAAATTTAGCTGCTAGTGTCTACTTAGTAATGAGGAGTTATAGTTTCATTTTCTTATTTTTAGATTCCATGAGGCAATTTAAGTGCATCAGAACTGAGCAGTATTAATTTCAGACTTGAAAAATATGTGCTTGAGAACAATCAGCAATTTCAAAGACAAAGCTAAGGTTTAAGATTCGTTGATATTCACTGTTGTGCTTGTAGAGTGGGAAGGAAGACAGGGATGGGCATGTCTGGAATCAGGGTACATGGCCTTTTCAAGCAACTACCGACAACTCCTCTGAGAACCAAGCCAGCTTTGTATTAAAGACATTAGTTTTGTTGCCTTGGCTACATGTACTGTAAGACTTATCTGAAGCCTCATGTTCCTGATGGTTGTTATATACCCTCTCATTTCTAGCCTAACTTAATTCTCAGTTAGTCTCTTTGCAGGTCATCAGTAACTATTAGGTGAAAAAGGTTTTTTCCTCTTCTGTGTTTATGTTCTTGGTGTTTCACAGAGAGACACCTCTTGTACTTCCCTCAGTTATGCTGGAAATGTATTTGGAACTATTTGTGTCTGTTATACATTCATATATATTCACACTATGTGTGTATATGTATTAAGTAAATAATATTTTCTTCTATTTAATATTATTTATTTGTTATCATGTACCCTTCTTCACAGTTTTTAAGCAACTTAATTGTTTTATCAATTCCATGGAGTCATATCTTAAATCTGTAAGGGTAAATGATGGTATGAAATAGTGAGTATGAAGAGGTAAATAGAAAGGAGAACTGAAGTAAATAGTTTAAAATCCATTCTGAAGCAAATCCAAACTTTTCCTGTAGGTTTGGTTTAAACAAGAACAAATACATAAACAGTCAGCTTTTCTATGCCAAGGTTTCCCAAGCAGCTTTCTGGTACAATTAAACATCAGTCAATTGTACAAATAATAACTTATTGAAACCAACTAAAAGGAATGATTTTGACAAATGGGCTTTTAGACCTTGCTGCAGAAAATTTGGCTGATGACACATTCTGGTTGTCCAATGTACTGCTATAATGATTGGTCTCTGTTTCAGCCTTATTTAACAGTTTCATTAACAGTATTAAAGAAAGCAAGTGAACAGCATGTTAATGAAGTCAGCAGATGATGTAAACAGCAGGAAACAAAATAGAAGATACTTAGAGATTTGAAACATGAGTGAGAGGAGTTATCAATGTGTCATATTCAGATTGAAAAAAAAAAAAAAGGTAATGCATCTGGGATAAATTAGTTCAGATCTGATTTTATATGGCTAATATATTAAGTATACAGAAATATATACACTGAATTACACTAAAACATTTTTTTTCTGCTTGATAAAGGTCCAGTTTGCAATCAGTGAAATATCTAAAGGGCAATACTGTCTTTGGAAAAATGTGTAGAGAGTGTAAAAGACCAGACAGGTAACTGATGAATTTTACACAAAAAGGTGGATGGATTGCAGTAGCAATTTGCTATTGTTCAAGCAACGGCAAATAAAAATCAATGGTTAAGTAGACTGTTTTAAGAGGAAAGACTAAAATGTAATGACTGAGCAAATAAGTAATGGAGAGGAAGACTATCATAATCCACAGGCCTGAAATATCGTAAGATTGAGAGAAAACATGACTTATTTAGCATTGCCACAGATTTGATATCATATCAGGAAAATGTTCATTATTAGGTGAAAGCAACCTCTTACCATATAACATCAAGAATTACAAAATAAATACATATAGGCTGTAAAGCACAACCTAGTGTCAATTAGTGGAAACCTAAAATAAACTGTAGGCTGCCTCTCACTAGCATATGGAAATGCTGAGTCTCTTCAACACCCCTCAGTGTGAGTGCAAGTTGCAGAGTCCCTGAATTGTTAGGTCTAACCTTTTTTTTTTTTTTTTTTCCCCAACAATATCCAAATTATAGGAGAGGAGACTTCCCAAGTGCTCCATTCATCAAGCCCAATCCCACACAAGCTCTAAAATATTTCCCCTTCCCCAGGGTGGTGACATGCATGCTGCAGGCAGACTGACAACTACCTCCTCCAGTTAGAACATATAATCATCAATACCCTTCTGAGCTCATTGAAAATGTGACTAACTCGAGCCTCAGCTCATACATTGTCAAATCCCACTTGGTGAGTCTTGTTCCTGTTCCAGCTGGAGATGGGCCCACGCTGGAATTTGGGAATCTAGTTTTCACGTTCCAAAACTGAACAAAGAGACCCGGACTCATCTCTAGCCTTAGTCTCCTAAACTGTGGTCATGTCTGCAAGTAAAATGCTGAAACACTATTTGTCTGGGAAAAATAAATGAGTGATGATTTTAAGAGATGCTGTGGCTACTCAGTGCAGTAGCTTCCAGCTTTTTGGTGCTGTTCCCAGAAATGCTTCAACCATGGTGAGGAGCTCTATTCTCTAATTAAAAAAAAAAATTGTATCAAATATTTTTCAGCTTTACACTCTCAAATTAAAGCTTAAAAACCTCCAAGGAAGGAAAGGAGGCCAGATTGGAGGGGGAGGAGGTGAGAGGAAGGAAGCGGGTGGAGAAAACCACTATATACCCAAGATGCAAGGAAAGTTGAAAAGTAGAAGAAAAAATATATTAAATCAGTGTAAACTAAGAGGTAAGTTTAAGGCATTTTTTTACATTGAATGTATGTCTTTTCTGGGTATTTTTAGTAGTAAAATTCTGTATACTTTAAAAACATTTAAAATACATTAAAGTGAGGTGATTGCTTTTTTTTTTTTTTTTCCAATTTCTTCAGCTATAAACTTGATCTATAATTTTATTAAAACCTATCAAAGGATGTGTTGTGCTGGGATTTTGCTACTTTTCTGCTGTTGCTGATTAAAACTGTCTATTACCTCACCAATGACCTACATGAAGTGAAACAACATCCCATGTCAGCAGGCAAAGTGTTTTGTTGTAGAGCTCAGCTGTGAAAGTTAATTGTTTATGGAGATGTGATAGGCACTGTACTCCTACTTACCTACCTTACTGTAATTCAGTGGTGTATTGGTGTAGCTTAGGAAAAGAACCTCTGAAGTAACAGATTTTCATATATTTAGGAAGATATTTGACCTGTGTTCTTAACTTGAGGTCAGAGCAGTGTCTTACATGGTTTATTAGTGTTGTTGCTGTTATTGCTACTTGGTGTGCTGCCTATACAGGGGTTGTATAAGTTAAGTGTTGATCAGAGACCACATGCCAGCAGCTGAATAGTAAAGTCTGGTGCACTTAGAAGCTCATTTATTACTGGGATGTTTGTTGCTATACTGCCAGCAGCCTGCCAGAGATACGACAGAATAAAAATATTGCTGATTAATATGACTGTGCTTGTGTTGTAACACCATGTGATACTAAAGACTTTGTCACAGATGAGTTTAGAAAGGAAGGGAAGAGAAATTTGGAAAAGTAGAGACTGGTATAAGGAGGTTCTGCGTAGCTCTATCAGCTTGGCAGAGTGGAGATGAAGAGATGTTCCTGCAGCCCCAGTATTTACTGCATATATAGACCAGGCTATCTGCAGCATTTTTATCTTCAAAGGTTGGGAACAGGATAGGGCAAGCGTGTGACAGCTGCCATAATGGGAGAGACCAGAGCTCTCAGTGGTTGATGGTGAAGAACAGCAATACAGGAGAAGGGGGTCTGTAGGGAGTGCTGCCGCCTTCCTCTCTGATCCTTATCCAGCTTCTGCTGTGTCTGGTCCTCTCCCGCTGGAGGTTATATTGTGTTTAAAAGCTTCTAATGTCTCAATCATTCACGAATTTATCCATTTTTTTTTTAACCTGTTTACATCATTGATTTCAAAAACGTTATGGAAATGGGTTCTATAAATTAATCACACTGTCTTTGTTTTAAGGCTCCTGTTTGAGGATTTTATGGATGGCCTGAAGTGTTTTTACTCTGAAAAGGGAATAGTATTTCTCACAGAGATGCTTATCACTGCCTCCTTAGGCTGCCCAATTATAAGTTGAAAAGTTGTGGTCTGCTTAGATTCTTCTCTATTCTATATGTCTGGTGATTCTTGTCCCTCTGTACATTTTCTAGCTATGCTATATTTCTTCAGTGATTCAGATGAAAATGTTAGCAATTTGCTGCCTTCTGAAGACATGTATGTCTAATGACTACCTCCCCTTTCTTGCTCTCACCATTTAGCCTTCTTTAACTTTTCTAAATATTTTTTTCAGTGTTGAACTGAATGCTTAAATATTTCTACAGATAGCAGTTACATAAATATATGCATGGCAGCTGTGCACTTCAAGATGAATATATTATGGATAAAGAGCTTGAATTTGTACTATTTTTATTCAGGCACATCCTGAGAATTTAGTATCAAATGGCCTAATTCTGCTCTAACTGACACTAAAGCCAGTGAATTAAACCAGAAACTCCTACCATACTCTGTAGGATCAGGACTGGTCCTGCCTGCTAGGGAACAGTGCTCGACACCACTTTCAGAAATGTTCTGAATTGTGCATGAAGCTAGCTATTAAGAAGCACAATCTTTTATCTTTTGTAGGAGAGGAAACCTGGAGGAGAGGTAACCACAATTGTTTAGTGGATCCAATTGTAGGACTGAGGAGAGCTAGAAGATGGTGACAGCTGAGCAACAAGAGCTGTGAGGAGTAGGTAGGGAGAGCTGGCTGGCAGCCGAAGAGTGAGGGGAATGAGAACAGAGCCCTGCAGGCAGGCAGGCAGGCAGGCAGGCAGCAGCTGCAGTTGCAGACCACTAAGGGTGGCGGGGATGCCACTACATTAGTCAGATACTCTGATGTCAGAATTTCTTCAGACATACAAAAGATCTTGGACACCTATGAAGGTGAATAGGGATTTGGCATCTCAAGCACCTGTGCAATTTTCAGCCTTGAAGTCACTCGACAGAAATAAAGGGCAAGGTAGAAATTATGCTCAAGGACAGACTAAACAGCTGATGACTGTAGCGGTCTTTATTTTGTTCTGTAAAGATTAATGGAAAGCATTTTCCTCAGACATTTGGAAACCATGACCTATATTTTAAATAGAGTCTTAAATAAATAATTAATATGGCTATTTAATTGCAACTCCATCACCAGACAAAATTATCCAACCAAGGAATTAATCATAATGATATTCTTCCCAGTACTTGTCATGCGTTCTTGTTCTTTCCTTTCTGTGGATGTTTTGAACAGTAAGGCATCCCTTTTAAGTTGATACAGTTCAGTATGGGACTAGAAAAAAAATGTTTAAAAGCGGTTCTATTTAGAAATATAGATAATTACCTGTTTGGGGCATTTTCTTAAAGTCAGATGCCTTTGCTCATTGCTAATGCAACAGAACAGAATTAAAAGCACAATTCAGTTGTTGAAAAATCTATATGTAAAAATGAACCATTTACTTGGAAACTAGCAGCAGCTGGTACAAGTTGATATGTTGGTATTAACATATCATTTACCAGGTGTGTTGCATCAGCTTCACTTCACAATGGATGTAGGATGTAGAGTGCCATGAAGAAATTCAAGCTGGAATTAATAAAGCTATGCATGGCAGCACTTCAGGAAGAAAAGCTTCCTCTTATGCAGCTTATTTGAGGATTTATCCAAACATGAAGAATGAATCTAGCCAACTAACAGCAAACTGGAGTAACAAACAACAAATGCACTCTTCTATAACATCACTATGACCCTCTCTCTATCCCCTGACTGCCCTCTCTAGACAGGCAATACCTCTGACTTACATGAGGCAAGTCTTAGTAATGCTTCAACACTTTGTTCACTCAGTGTTCACCCAGCTGCAGCTGGATCAGATTGAATGGAAACAAAATGTTGTCAGCAATTAAGGACTCTTTGACATGAGTTTTGCCAACAGGTCTGCTGGAAATTGGAAATACTGAAGGCTTTCTTACTACATGATATCTACCTTTGCCAAATTCTGTCCCTTGCCCTTCTCCCAGGTCATGCCAAAAGTGCACCTTTCTCCCTCTTACCATGTGTGACCAGTCCCTTGCACTAAGAATCCCTAGATGCCCAATTTTTTCACTTTCCAGTCTATATTCCTCCATGGTCTCTAGGGTTAGAAAACAGATAAATGTGCACAGTGGTGGACAAAAGGACTGAAGGCAAATCCTTTTCCTTTTAGAAATTGATCCAGACTGGCAGAGGATGGCTCCAATATTTACTCTCCACCTCTGCCATGCAGAAAGCATGGTAGCTAACACTTCACTCAAGGTAAAAAGGTTTAAATGCTGAGTAGATTGGACAAAGTAAAGCATCATTTCTTGCTATCTTCTTCCTTCTGAGGTGCTCCAGCCAAAAAAAAGAGGAAAGACCCTCTACTCTCCATAATCATTTATATTTCTGTGGGGAATGCCTTCCTCTCCTGAGGCAGCCCTTCCCCTTTTCCCCTAGTGCCTTTATGGTCAAGAACACTCTGTAAGTGCAGCTCTGTAGACGCAGCAGCTGTTAGAAACCCACAAAGTTCCCAATGTAAACTTCATGCCCTTGCTTTTCATCACTGCTATGAAGACAGGCAGAAGTAAAAATGCATCCCTTCAATATGTTCATTTTGATTTCTGAAGACATTATTTAGGTATTACAGGATAACAAAGTGCATTAGAAGTGTGCAGTCTTCACTAGATTTTATTTTTTTTCTTGTCCTTGCACATTCAGAGGTGTTGTTCAATGCAAATATCACACATGGTTCCCTGTTCTGGCAGTGCTCGGGCACAACATGTTCCACTGTTGGGTCTCCTTTTCTTCCTGGCTATAGGAATTTTTCTTTTTCCTTGAAAGTGTAAAGATAGAGAAGAAGTGGAAACAAGAAGTACTGAAAACTGTTTACTACCTCTTAGAAGGCTACTTCTAATTTTTATTTTTACAGAATGAATGTTTCTGTAAGCAAGGAATAAGCTTTAGCACAAAATTTGAGATGAGCTTTGCCAAATTTCTCAGCAGATGAAATAACAAGTGTTTTAAATAATAGCCTTCATGTATCCAAGAGGGATTAAACATTCAGATATACACTGACTTCCAGATTTGGGGGAATATACTGTTATTTTATTTGTTTAAGAAGGTCTAACTTAGCTATTGATATTAAATTATTAATTAAAAACATCTATCCATATTTTATGGCATTCAGGATGTAAGGAAGGGGAATGTCCCTCACACCCAGTGCTCTCGTGAGCTCTTGTGAGCTATACATAGGCGGGAAAGTGATTTGCACTCTAAGCTGAGCTAATGGGCAGGGAAGAGAGATCTGACAGAAATTTTGCTTCTTAATTCTCTTATGACATCTGTGCTTGGATATGGATAGAAGAAGGAATCTGCTCTTGGTTTGAATCAGTGAAGCAGGATGGTTTGCCTGGAATAAGGAAGGATTGACTTTGGGTATAGTTTTCTTCCCCTTCAGTGTAGCTAAGCATGCTCAGGTAGGCCAGAAGAAACCACAAACTGCTTCTGCAAAGGTAAACTGTGTAGCGAAGCAGAAGAAAAATATTTTGATGGAAAAAACAGCCTATTATTTTAGTTGTCTATAAAATGAATAATAAAGCAGTATTGAAATACCTTTCTGACCATGCAGTGACCTCTAAACTCTATGTACAAAGCTGGGTTATTTCAGTGTCATTCGGTAAGAGAAGGATTAACC